AGAGAGGGGCTATAAATTATCTTTACTGCTTTGTGAAGCTCAAAGGGCTTGAGAAAGAAGAGTGAGCTGAAATATTACTTTTTATTTCCTTCAGCCCTGTCAATGTTGACATTTGCTATAAGGTAGGGGAAGGGCTGTGAGCAAAACATAATGATTATAACCAGCAACAAAAAATATTTCATTGCATAACAGTGCGAATGTGGATTATTTCATCATGTATTAATGGTACCCTAACTACTGAGAATAAGTAAGATAGCCACTAAACACTGTTTTTTAAAGAGGAAAGCACAGCTTAATGAAGTTTTATATTTGATTATTGTAGAAATTTTATCTGAAGCCAATACCAGTCAGCATTGCATTTAGCTTGTAATAAACCCAGTTTTTCACCTTGCCCCCTTTCCACACTAACATCACTTATCTGTACTCATCTGGTTGTGCTCTATGTAGACAACATCTATCAGATCAAATCAAATTCTTTCTTTTTTCTGATGGTCATTTGAAAAATGTGTATTCAAGAACACATTTCTGATCTCAAAATAATTTTACTTGGAAGCAATTCGTCCAGGAAGACGCACAAGCTGTGAAGCAGTTCCATCAGCAGTTGACGTTATTTTAATGTGCTTCAAGTCATCCATGAAAAATGGTCTACTTGGAAATCAAAGAGAAGATATGGTTATTCTTATGTGGCATATTAAACTATCTGAATAACATTGAGTTATTACTGATTTAAAAAAAAAATCTGACATTTTCAACCATGTATGCTTTTGTATTCTATCTGACTTTGCTAAGTTTGAAGACTCTATTTCATTACAAACTTCGATTTTGATTACTGGGAATGAAAACCAATTAAAGCAGGAAATGGAGCTGTGATGTAGACATTGAAGACTTTCTAGGCAACCAAAAATAAATCTTCCAAAACTAAATACATATAGTTTATCTTAAAAACATTTTTTTCAGAGAACGGGATGTCATCTTGCAGTCCTTTACAGAATACTTACTGACAAAAAGCCAGGATATTCAAATACACAGAAAAAAACCCTAAAAGTCACTGTAGTTTCTGAATTTCAAATTAGGAAGAAGAGAAGAGTTAAGTAAACAAAGCCATTTGGTGTTTGTTTTCTTAAGAAAATGGTAGTAATGTACAGGTAGATTGTACAAAGGAAGTCTGAGCTTTGTGCTGTCTGTCTGCAGATTTCAGAAAAGCATAGGTGATTTTACGCTGAAATATTTTCATACCTGCTCCTTCCAACCCTCCAGTCCCCAGCCCCTCCCCTTTTCTGGATGTACGTGATAAATTACCGATTCTCCCTGATGATATTCCTGTGATACTCCAAAATAATTCTGCAGACATGGTAAAAGCTTTTAGAGACTGTAAAACTGATTATCTCTTCTGTAGCTCTTTTCATCTTCAAAGCACTTACCAACATTAACTAATTAATCCTCACAGCATCCCTCTGAATTAGATATCATCACCATTATACAGATGGAGGAATTGAAGCAAACACTTTGTGAGTGGCTCCTGAGCTTCAAGAGAGTTGGTGACGGAGATAGAATTGGAATGCACAGACCTGTGTGTCCAGGTTCTCTGGCTGAGCTGCCCCACCATTCCTCTCCTGAGAAATGTACCTATAGGTATTAATTATGCAGTTTCTGCTAATGAAACCTTGTCAGGAATGGCTTTGATGGGAAGTTTATTTAAAGTCAGACAGACTATTATCTTTTTAAATCCCTCGTCTGCAATGTTTTCTGAAAGATTTTTGAAAAATAAATCTCTCCTGTAGGATCACTGTCTGCTGACTGCAAACTTCAAAATTAAAGAGCAAACAATTGTGGTGTTTAGGCAGGAAGCAGAAAATAGAAAACAAGCCTCATTCCTCTAGTCTGAATTTAGTGGCTTGTTTATCAAAGTACTTAGTATCATACAATTGAAATTAAAAACCTGCAAATTTACACGGCTGCCTTAATGAAATAATCTACACAATAGATGGCTTAAGTTTTAAGAGTGCAGAGGACAGACAGAAGTTTCAGGTGTGGCTGAGAACTCTCCCATCTCCTTTAGGGGTGTGTTTTTAGCCATCTCAGAGGCTGATGAGCACCTGGCTGCATTTCTCTGATGTCTGTGGCAGCCCTTGCCATTCGAGGGACTCTTTGCCAGAGCGGCTCCTCAGGTGTACACCAGCCCAGGGTTGGTGAGCAGAAATTGGGATTGTTGGTGCCAGGCTTCAGCTCTCTCTGGGCATCACTGCTGGGCTGCAGCTGCTCCCCAGCAGGGTGAGGGGATCCCTCTGCTCCTGTGGAGCACAGAGCTGCTCTCAGCAGCCCAGGGAGGGGGCCCAGGTACTGTCAGTAAATACTGCTCAAAGTTCAGCAGATGTGCTCTTAAATTAATATTTAACCAGAGCACTACATTTTGTCTGCTTCATTAATTTTTTATTAATTTATGAAAATGCTGTTGATGGAAGTAATATTGACAGGGTGTGTTTTTTGTTTTGGATGCTGTGTTTTTTTAATATCTTCTGGTAAATGGGAACTTATCTTCCTTATGAACACAAACCATCTAACAAGCCATATGGGGCAAATGTTCTAATAAGACTACAGTTATTGGGGCATGATGCATTAATGTTTTATGTTGTTCATAACTCAGCTTTAAGAGATTAATAATGGAGATGTGAGGGGAATGCTGTCTTAAGTGTTTATGATTATGTTAATATTAAGACATAATGTAGGAGGGGAAATTGCTTTCAGGTAGTTACTTCTATTATTTGTAGAGAGCGTATTGTGAAGGAAATGTTCTTTCTATCTTCTTCCCATAATTCTTAAGCAGTTCTGCTGAACTGAAGTTACAGGAGCAACTCTTCATTATTACAGATCTATGAGAACCTCTTATAACTTAAGTTTCCTAAAAAATAATTCTAAATTTGCCAGAGCTGAAACTCTTTACCCCCAAATTACCAGGGAGTAAGATTTTCAGAACTTCAATTAATTTTTGGAAATTTCACAGTTTTTCCTTTTATGTTTGAAACAAATCCTAATGACTCTGTTATGATCTTACCCGTGCATTGGCATTTGGCCCGTGAACTCAGATTGACAAAGCCACTTATGGGTAAGCAGCTAACCTTTCAAAAGGTAGAGAAGGATGCTTGGAAAGTTTGGAGGTAGTATTTAATCTATAAGTCTAGGTTGAACAAAGGTAGTAAGGAGAAGGGGGCTTAAAAAAGAGATGAGTGAAATATTATAAAGCTGTTTAGTTGTGTGCATTTAAAAAATATTCTGAATGTAGTTTTTTTCCCCCTCAGTTTATTTTTTAATCTTAAGCAATTGCTAAGTAATCTCCTTTCTTCAAAAAGTCACTGAAACAAAAGTGCCTTTTGTGGGAGAAGATAATTCATTGCTATGTATTAGAAACCAACACACTTCAAAGTGATGGTGTGTTATTTTGCTGCTTTAGGTAGAATGAAAATTTGGTATTCACATCTTTATGGAGCAATTCTGTCTGGCTCTCCTCTGTCACAGAGTAAATGTAGCTGTGTGGTCTTCACTTGGCTCCATTCTTCTGTGTTGAATTTTTCCCCTCTGCCCCTTCTCTTCGAGTCTTTTTCCTATTTTCTGATCAGAACCTGAACTGTGTAACAGCTGAGTTGAGCTTCTAAGATGCAGTGAGATAGAAGTTGTGCAGTGCAAGTTCACTTATGCAGAACTGGTCCTACTCCTGGCACACCACAAAGTTGTTTGTGTGTCCCTGCTGCTCTGGAGTGCCTGCACGGGGCTGTCACTGCTTCCCCCAGTGTGTGAAGCACACGACTGTTTATCACAGCCCAGCAGGCAGGATGCTGATATTTTCAAACAGCACCACTGCACCCTTATCTCAATAGCACTAATATTATCCCCTGCCAAAACAGACATGATATATTGAAGTATCTGTAACTGTTACAGGATCTCTGCATATTCTTGAATTTAGCCTGCAGCAAGTCTGTCATCCATGGTGATCCTGATGTTGCAAGAAGCAGCTTAAAAATATCATCAGGGCATTGGTGCTGACTTAAAAGCAGCGTAGGCACTACTGACCTGAGACATGCCCATTAAAATAGGCTGCCTGCTTTTCCTCCCTCCCTGCTGCTTCTTTATGTGCTGGTAGTAGTCCCCTGTACTGGTTGTAACCCTGTGTCAGAATGAGGTAGAGTTCAGAAAAAATAGCCAGAATCATAGGTTAGGTTATCTAATTTTTAAACTGTTTATAATAATTAAGAAAATATATTCCAATCCACCAAATTCTGTTTAAGTTTAGAGAAAAATTTATTTTTGCTGATGGATTAAGCCTAATACCATAGCTTAGGAAAAAAAACAAGTCCAACACTGCAAACCTTTTTATGTTTTATTATCTATGATATTTGTGTACAGCACTGCTCAATTACACCACAACAGTGCAGAGATCCAATCTTCCCAGTGTAATGACTTCCTGATGATCTGTCTTTAAATGAGAAATGAAAAGAATATGCTGCCTTCTAGTTGCACATACAACAAAGTTTATTGCCACCCAAAATTGCTTTTTATTCCTTAGGTAGGTGGGGAGGTGTAGAAGGAAGGTTAAAGCCAGACTTTTTCCTAACCTGTTCACAAGTTATATTATTGGGATATGTTTCCAGTGTTGTTCAATCTCCCTGAAATACATCTCCCTGAAATTCAAAGGGGGAAAGTGGCTGTATGGGGGTTAATCTTTGGATTTTTACAAAAGAGTTTAGATCAAATCAAAAACTCTCAGCTATTGGTGAACCACAGGTTCTCCTTGATCATGTAAGTCCTTCCATCACCCACTCCAGCGCGGCACTTCTGAAATGCAGAAATCTGTCACTTCTGAGATAAAGCCACTAATCCACCTCTCTCCTTGACACTTTCTCTGTTCAGTGGGCATATTTCTTATATGGATATTTTCTGTCACTTTTGCCAGTACTACCTCTGTGTCATAAGCTGATGGCTTTAACCAGTGATTTTCTGTTTTTCAGACTCGACGTGGAAATCCAAACACCTCTCTGTGAAGTGTTTTCAGAGTTCATCCCCTGCTGAAAGTCTCCTCAAGGTAATGCTTGTGAATGACAGCAGGCGTATTGTAAGCTAAATTTTTGAAAAATGTTTCTTGCTCATCCAAAGAGGTTGTGAATTCTGTAGTCTGTGTTATTCCTCTCAGTGTCAGCATCAGTCTTGATGCTTAAATATCCATAGGTGTCCTTGTTCTGATTATTTTGAGTTAATTTTTTAATCACGCTTTCAGTTTCCATGCTGTTGTGCAAATTTTGCAGTTCCATATCTCTGTGCTATTTTTTAATCTTTTGCAGTCACCTTATTTCTATATGCTGCTTGGTTTTTTTTCTCTGAGACGTCAACTTGATTATTGCCTTTAACTGCTCTTAATTTTTGCCACATCTGTTTAAGTATTTAGTCTATTTCTCTCTTAAAAATACCTTTGGTGTTCATTGTCATGAGCTTGTGCACTTTTAATTTCTGAAATAGATCTCGATCTAGTTCCAGTGTGATTTTTATATGAACTCATTGTGTGGGTTTCAAAAGGATTTCCAGCGTAATGATTCCTTTTGGATTCTTTAGTGAAAGGTTTATATGTTCAAATCCTTAAGATTGTGTCTGTCTACATACTTGTGATTGCATCTGAATACCCACTTCTGTATGAATATATAAAATATATATGTGTATGTATCCATACTTGTGTATATACACCTGCAACTCCCACTGCTACAGTGAAAACAGACCATATATATATATGCCTATATCACTGAGGGAGGTTCTCTTTTGAGAAGAGAAGACTTTGTGATGACTGTAAGGTTCCTTATAATCTACTGATCTGCTTCCTGAGCTGTGGTGATAGTTTTGTGCTCTGCAGAATGAACAATATCCGTTGTATTAGAGGCTGCAGTCGTGGGGATTTGAGATTCCTACTGACACTTGCAGCACCCTGCTTGCCTTGTCCTGGGCGTTTTTGGCAGGAAGTCCTATTTATGAAAATAAAATTGTGTATGTTATTCCCAGTGCTTTGGCTCCCTGGTGAAAATTCAAGCCCTAGGTTGTAATCAGGAGTCTTTTTGAGAGCTTGCATTGATTGCTGCTGCTGCCTTGCTCAGTCTGGGTGCAGCAAGGTGCTCAATTCTCTCCCTCTCTCCCTGGTTTGCAGTCTGCTCTTCTGAGGAATGGCTTAGGAGGGGCTTCTCTCTTCCTGTGCCTACCCCAGCACTTCTTAATTACTTATTGCTCTGGGTGTGTAGAGGCTTATTTTACAATATGGCTCTTTCTCACAGCAGAAAGATCTTGTCAGCAGAACATTATGGCACGTATAAACTGGTGACATGAGGGGTTGTGTCTGTCTGCAGCTTCCCTTTGCACTTGCAAGTCAGAGATATACTGAAAGACCTATTTCTGAATTTTGAGAATCAACATATCAACACTGCAGGATGCTATTTCCATGATTTCACTGTCTGGATAGTTAATCACAGCATTGCTCATACATGCAGGTTACACAGAACTGCCAGATGAAAAATCTGTAGCACATACATGGCACAGCCAGGCAAAATGTTGTGTTAGAAGACTGAAAAATTTAGACTGATTTTTCTGGTAAAGTAGTAGTCAAATTAGAGAAAATTGACCTACTTGTCAGGGGCAAGACTTGATCAGCAACTTAGAGAAATATAAGAGTTACCCAAACTGGCAATGGAAATTCCTAATCCTTTCACTTGGCAGGTTTCACCTGGTCATTGTGTGTTGTCCTGTTGCCTTATCCCCATGACTGCCAGCCTCTGCTCCCAAAGGCTCTGGCATTTGTGCTGCCAATGTACCTGTACCTGTAAGCAAGTTGTTGGATCTGATCTCTCACTTGCCTACCTGAAAGGTCATCAGCCTCTAAGCAGGTCTCAAATATTCAAGTGCACTTTTCAGCTATGAACTCAGGTTTTGTGCATGTGTTAATTATTCAGCACTGATAAGGGGAGAAAAACAACTTGGGAAATTGATGTTTGTATCAGAGGTCATCCCTTCAATTGCATTATTTATATTTATTCCTTCAGATCCCTAAAATGAATTGGTCAGATTGTTCAAGAGGACAAAAATATGGAATCAAGAGTTCTACTAGTAGTTTTTTAATAACAAATGTATTAAAAGGAAGTGAAAGCAATCCAGATGTGCCACAAACAACTGGATTAGAATATACAGTAGAAATTCAGAGGGGATGTATTTACACACTGTGTATCAATAGGGTGTATTAATCCAGTTTGTCATGAGATCGTAATGACACTCAATGAAAATACAGCATAAATTTCAGCAATTCAAAGCCACATTCTTTGTGAGTTTTGTGTTGAGATTCAGTTAATAGGCGAGCTCATGGTTTATGCAAAACTGTTACTTTTCTTCTGCTTGGGAATTCTTTCTCTGCATCTTAAGTATCATTAAATGTGATCAATTCCATTTGGAACTGATACTTTAGTTTCAATCCCAAAGTTATTTGGGTTGTTTAGGTCCACAAACAACCTTGGAGGTCAGGTGAGGAAGGGATATTGGGTAGCCAGTTTCTTTTGCCTCTAAAAGTTTCCACTGCTTCTGTCTTGCTCTGCTGCTTCATATAATGCAAAAAAGAACACTTCTAAAAGAGCATATTTGTGGAACTGCTTTAGAAACTTAAAGTACATTGCTTCAGAAACTATGGTAAAATAGCAGAAAATAATTTAAATACAACTGCAAATATTGAGGTTGGTACCTAGAGGGATTATAAACTAGGATTTTGCCAATCATGAATAAAAACCAAAGCTCCTGTAATTGCTGGTGTCCTGTGAAAATAGTGGATGGAAAGAATAAAGAGTTACACAAGTAATTTGGCCTTCTCAGTGGTAATTGATATTTATATTTACTCAACAGAAGTGTTGGGGCTGGCTTTTTTTGTTTTGTGGTGGGGTCTGGTTTTTTGTTCTTGCTTTTTTTTTCAGATGCCTCAAATAGATTGTTTTATAATGACCTTCAGTGCTTAGTGGTGTAGATTCTATGATAAAGCAATTGTGGGTTTTTTTTCCTCCTCAGAGCTCTTTTCCTGTCTATAAGTCTTTCAGAAAATATCTAATTTCAGTTTAGTTCCTGCAAGTGTACTACCATTGTAGCACTTTCAAGAAATTTTGACAAGAATACTTCACAGCCAGCTACAACTATTTATAAACATGAGATTGTCTTTAATCCTAAATCAGCTTCCAATTACCATTTTATAGTTATTCTGGAGAAAAAAAAAAAAAAAAAGATTTAATCATATCCAGGATACAGCAAACTTGGGAGGATGGAGTTATTTTAAGGCTTGTGATACTAATTATAGCTAACTCATTACCATACATTGTTACTGGCATTCTACAATACTTGTTTGTATAGAACTTGTCAGGGTATTTAGCATTTTCTACTGTTGGTTCTTTCTTTAGTAATATATGAATTGCTTGATTACTTGAGTTGTGCTTTTTAATAATTGCTAAGATTTGGCTATTGAATACTGTCAGATTTTCCTTTTTGTAAATGTTAATTGGAGAGGGTAAGTCAGTAATAGTTTTGGATTTTTTTATTTAGCTGCCTGGTGTTCTTGCTCACTGAGTAAACAACAAAAAATCCAACTTGTTATTTTAACTTCCCCTATTTTAACCTTTTCATCAGTGCAAGCATATTAATTGGAATAGTTGTTCTTCTCTCCAGTATTACATCCTGTATTTTAATGCCAAATACATCCTTGTGCCAGTGTATTTAGCAAAACAGAAAAGGGGGCTGTCCTTGTAGCAGAATATTGAGTAGTGATAATATTTTTTGCCATTAGGCAATGGGCACCTTAAAAATGTTGAGGAATAGAATCTCTGTGACTCCTGTAGCAAAGCCTGCAATGATTATCACAGCAAGTACTCCATTAAGAGACAAGCTCTCACATTAAAGTGGAGTCTCCAAACTGTTCATTTTCATTCCTGTAGTTTTCTTATGTAATAGTGAGGTACCTTTTTCATGTCAGTAGAATGGGAAATTTATGATCAAGGGTTGCATTCACTTAATGTTAATCTCTATTTTAAGTATAAAAAGAAGTGGGATATTAAAGTCCTGTGATGATACTGTAATCTCTCAAGGTGTCAATCAGAAAGTGCCAGAAGAAATCTTGAAAGAGCAAAATGCAAATAAAGAAAATAAAGAGAGAGTTGTGTAAAAGTACTAGAGGGTTGTGGGATATTTTGTGTTCCTAGTTCAGGGTGGATTTTTGGGAAAAGGTCTCAGAGCAGCATTGCTTTGCCTGTTATATTGGATCAGTCACTGTACATCTGCATTTAGACCCCAAGTTCCTGAGCAGACCCATTCTTCACCTGCTGACCTAACCAATATCTGGGATAGTAAGACTGAGTGCTAGGCAAAAACGTGAATAAAGTGATGGTTAGTTGCACAGCAACTTCAGTGTGAGTATTTTTGTATCCAGTGTTCATCTGCAATCAGGAAGGTGCAGATGTAGAGAAGGGCGAGAGGATGTGTATTTCTAAATCCAGCCAGCAACTTTCACGTGCTTAGAAAGGATATGTTTTAAATAAGAAGGAAATGCATTATAGTTATAATGTAATATTTAAGTTTATTTGTATTTTAGTTCTTTTTTAGAAAGCTGCAAGTTTTCTCTAGCAGCATTTACGTATTTGGATTTAAATGTCTTAATATATAAAATATTTCTCACTTTCTACAAACTGAGGAGTAAACTCTGTTGTAATTATTTGCTCAAAAATCTTCTATGTATAGCTTGGCTGCAAGGCTGGTCATACCCAGGGTTCTTTAGGGAATGTTTACATAAATTGTTTGCTCGCATATCTATTTATACATATGATTTGTGCAAGTGCTGAAATAAATATTTGTTTTCCCTTACAGTATTGCTATTTCTATTTGAATTAGTAGAAGAATAATTAATGTGTAAATATCCTTCAGCTAATATAGCATAACTTTATACCTTCAAATTTTAGTTTCAAGTGAATAACCTTCAGTCAGTATGGTTTCTTTAAATGTCTAAATGCTATAGATTGTTGTTTCTGTGTGTCC